AATCCATTTAGCACTCGGGCCGCAGGCACGATTTGGTCATATAGGCCGAGTATTTCTACGACCCTCGATTGAATGATGTTGGCCGAACTACCTGGATCAATCAACACACATTTAACTCGAGTTTTATTCATGAGTACAGAAAGTACCAGTGCATTATTATGGGGCTATATGATTCCTTCTGCGTCTTTGTCGTTGAAGGATAAAGTTCCTTCTGGTATATAATCTCGAGTCCATTTTTCCCTTGTGATGGATACTTTGGTGCATTTTATCATCGGACCTTGAGGAACATCAACCCCTTTGATGATCATATGAATGACGTGTTGGGGCTCGTCTTGTTCACTCTGTTTATTGGAATCCCTGTTTCTGAAATGATTCTTATCTCTATCGCTCAGAAATTCTCGAAGATGCTCGTCATTGAATAACCGGGCTACTTCTTCTCTCAATTGTCAACAATCCTCCGTTCTGTGGCCATGTGTGCCATGATATTTGCATATTTGGTTGGGATCCCTTTGTGTATGATCGGTTTATAGAGGTCGAGGCCATTAGGTATCTTTGATGTGTCCGATAGCTGATACAATGGCGGATGCATCGACATTGAAGTTATATTCTGACAATCGTGGTGCTTCTTTAGGTCCAGTATGCCTGTCGAAACCATTCTTGCTCATGAGCCCTCGAGAGCTCTGGCCTCGATCATTTCTCCTTTTACTTCGCATAGGGTTGCGCCCAGGTCCGTTGTCCCTACGGTCTCCATTATACGGCTGATATCGATCCATGTTCGACCTTGGTTCTCAGTTGATATCCCTCCTAATTCTATCGACGGGGTTGATAGGATAAATTGACCCTGGTGGAGCCCCGAGTTGGTCATCTTCGACCCTGATCTTCGATTGATACCGATTATGGACATCAGCCCAAGTGACAGCTGGGTATTTTATCAAATTTTGCTTCAATTGCTGCGAATCCACCGAGCTTCGAACATTGAGTCCTTGGGTGAAAGCTTGAACTGTCCAATCGTCGGCGACCGGTGGTAGCTCCATTCGTTCCATTTGGAATCGGGACACAAATTCTCCGAGCACTTTGTTGTCCTTTTCTCTTACCTTGAAAAGGTTTGATTTCCTGGTTTCGACCTTGATGGCTCCGGCGTGTGTTTTTACGAAAGAATCTGCAAGCATAGCAAAAGAATCAATAGAGTTAGGTGGTAAATTGTGGTACCATATCATAGCTCTCTTTGACGAGGTTTCCCCGAATTTCTTTAGTAACATGGATTCGATTTCGTCGTCCTCTAGATCATTCCCTTTAATTGTACATGTGTAAGAGGTCACATGCTCGTTTGGGTCAGTCGTTCCATTCTACTTAGGAATTTCGGGCATGCAAACATTTTTGGGGATCGGCTTCGGTGCCTCACTCGGAGGAAAAGGTTTTTGTACGAACTTCCTGGAATCTAGGCCCTTCAATATCGGAAGTGCTCCTGGAATTTGGTCTTTCCTGGAATTGTAAGTTTCCACCTTTTTGTCGTTACCATCGATCTTCTTTTCCCCGGATTCTATCCTTTTCGTCGGTTCCTCAAGCATCTTTATAACTTTGGAGCTATCCCCTGATTCGTGTTCGTTTGATCTTTCTACGACCGATACATCCCTGCGGTCGGCTTCCCGGGGAGGATCGGGCTCAGCCCAGCTTCGTGCGCGGCTTTGGTTCTGTAACTGAGTTATAGCATTTCGAATATCATTCGTAAGTTGATCCCGTCTCCTTCAACGTTTTGAGCGTTCTGAATCACCGACCGGGCTCCACCACGAACGTTATTTTCAGGGTTGGTAGGCAACTTTGCATCGATAGCTACATGCGAATTAGCGTCGATTGGATCTACGATCGGAATTCCAACGGGATCAGCATGCAGTATCTCGTTACCGGGCGCTATGTTGTTATTTTCACCTTGGTGACCGGACTCGTTGTCAACACGTAGAGGCGCTAATTGAGGGTTTGACATTTTTATTTTTTTTAGCCTGGAACCAAAGATACTCACAAGAACAAGCGTAAAATAGTGTGTGTTATAAAAGGTAGTACCAGCCAATCACTATTATCCTTAGCCCTACGGTGGGCGCTAAACTGTTTACCCGAAAAATGGATAACAATTGAATTTATACGCAGTTTTAAGGATACGTGATATAGCTTGGCACAAATTGAGAAAATGTATATGCATATTAATATTGAAATTGACTGTAAATGAAATGAACGCAAACCAAGTGAATCGAATAGCCTTGGCCCTTGAGTTCGATCACCCTCAAACCAAGTGGAGATTCAAGTAATGCAAGAACTGAATAACAAGATATTGCAAGCTAAAAGAAGCTAGTATTTTTCTTTATATTGCCTGAAAAGATCTGTCTTTACAAATGATTAGACCCCCTTTATATAGTAGGGGAGTCCTATTATTGATACAATGCTAATACAATTAGGAATCTCATGATAGGCTAATTAGTCGGCCACTCCTTAATTTGCGTCGTGATTTCTGTCGTGATTCTCGCCTGATTGCGGATATTTCGGCTTTTCGTTATTTGGCTTGGTAAGCTTCACTCGATCTTGCTCGGTCCCGATCTTGGCCAATCTTGATCTTGGCCGATCTCGATCTTGGCTAGTCTCGATCTTGACCGACCTCGATCTTAATCGATCTCTGAGTCACGAGCTCAGCAATATGCCTTCGCACCATGGTTCGATATAACACGAGTTTGAACTTTGCACTATCATGTTCTACTCTCGATAAGTCATGCACTATCAGATTCAAGTGTTCAATAGGTAAAATCATTAGTTAAAATGTCTAAATGAAGAATTGGGGCAAATTTAAAGAGCACATATATATTCAGCTTATTTATATGCGGTTTCTTCTTCTTATTAGAGTTGTATGTCATATGTGAGGTGGTGGTGTCATTCCAAATTGACAAGTGGAGTCCGAGTCATGATACATATAAGTTTCTTGTAATCGTAGCTCCGGACTGGCTGCTTATTTTAAACCATTTGTTGTCTTATCATAAATATGCCTAAAGATATCTTATCAACATGACAGCGATGGAAAAATTTCTAGTAGTTTCTTTATATACACAGAAAAGACAGATGTCTCTCCCACCCCAGATTAACGAGAATATAATAAATATTTTATCCGTTTTATTTTATGTGAACCTATTTTTTTTTTAGTTTGTATCAAAAAGAATAATATCTTTTCTTATTTGAAAATAATTTAGTTTTATGCAATAATTTATAGTCACACAAAATATATATGACTTATTTTATACAAGTTTAAAAGTTTTCTCTCTTTTTTTAAACTCCGTATCCAATCAAATGAATTGATAACGAACGGAGTACAAAAATTTCTTGATACTTTTTGCAGCTGGACAATAAGCAACCATACTTTCAATATTTATCTTCAGAATAATTCCCCAGCTGACACGTAAAGATAAACTCTTAAAGTATTTTAAATGTTTTTGGAAAGCAAATCTTGTTAGCATGATCTTCAGTTCTCCACTATAGCTGCCATATCTATAAGTACAGCATCTTTTAATTAAATATGAAGAAAGTGATGTTCTACTTTAAAAATAGTTAAAAATCATTCCTCTGTTGTGGTGGTGTCAAATTCATCTACGCGCACTTTGTTTTATTTCTTGGCATCTGTTGTTACCTGCGCAAATATTAGACTATATTGTATGCAACCCTTTAATATAAACTATACGTAAATTAGAACGTCGAAATTTCTTTGTCCATAATTATATTAAAGCTTAGCTATTATCGAGCATTCACAGTTTAATCTGCTGATGCATAAGAGCAGGGGCTGTGCTAGAGTATTCAGTACAAGTTCATATGAACTTAACTAATAAATTTTGTTTAGACCCTGTATTTGTATTAAAAAATTCAAACAAATATGTGTAAATCAAGAACCCATTAACTAAGACGAGTTATAGTTTTGAGTGCAAGTTCTGAACGCATAATTAAATTATGGCTCCGTCCCTATATAAGAGCGGTTGCTAACTTACTAACACTACGCAAATTTGTAAAAAGGGTAGTCCGGTGCACAAAGTATCCCGTAATCACGCAGTGTCCGGAGTAGCGACAACACCCCAAAGGGTGTGATATAGACAGCCTAACATAATTTAAGCATTAATTGTTATTTACATGACTCGAACCCATGTCATACGGAATAACTTTAATTACAGTTGCTCCAAGGCTGTATGTGATCAAATCAAATTCTATGCAACTTCTCAACTGTTTGAGTAAACTTAAATTACTATATACAGACATGGTCCATATATATGTTAGCTGCTGCACGGCAATGCCTCAGTACAGTTATTTTTGGTAGTGGAACTTGTCATACATTACGAGTTTCTACTTTCCAATTAATACTGCCATCTAATATGCTACTATTATCGTCCCCAATTAATCCCACACTTCTCTTCTGCCCACAGTTTCTAACAACGAACAACCACACGCCATAAATGTTTTTAAATTACTTATAATTTTTCCCATTCTTTTTAATCTTCCTCTTCATTTGTTCTCTACTAACTCCGTTTCAGTTTAGTCTTTTTAGCAAATTAAATTTGTTTCAAATATTTGATATTTTAAAAATATAAGAAGTCATTTATTGATTTTTTTTCCCTTCAGATATAGTATTTTTACTTCTTCAATTAATAGGGTGATCAGTCGCAGAGATGGACCCAGGATTTGAAGGTGTTAGGAAAAACGAGCGAACTGCTCAATCAATGTTCCCATCTGACTTTTGATCTTAATAGTTTTAAGCAAAATATATGACCATTTTTCCTATTTATATATATGTATATATTCAGAATTTGTATCGAAGTTAACGGGTCCGACCCCTCTTTTACAAGCATATATATATATATAGATCCGCCTCAGGTGAGATGTACTCTTAATTAAGGTTATTACATTATTTTTTAAAGGGTGTGGAAGAATCTTAAAAGGCAAATAATATGGATCAAAGATAATAATAAAAATAAGACCAAAAACACAAGCACAAAGAGGGATTTATGCTATACCATGGCATGTACTTTCACTAGATTTCCTGGATGAAACAAGTAAAATTAAACACAATCCCAACAACCACGGCATATGTATACTTGCTAGATTTTCTTGGATGGAACAAGTAGTACTAAAATCCATAAACATAATCCTAAAATTATTTTTTTACAACCCAGTAAATTATTATTTTTAGCATTTAAAATTTAAAATTCTGAATCCGCTTATGTCTAAGAGTTGTAAAAGATCTGGGAAATAGTTATGGGTTAGAGAAAAAACTAGTTCTTATCAAGTAGTCAATTTCTCTCAAGGGTGATCATGGTGTTGAGTGTAGATGTAGTCAAGGTGAGCCTCTGCAATAACCCTTCTCTTAAAGCATTCTTCATCTCCATCATCACATTCCTCTACTCCCCTCAACTCCTACAAAAGTGTAAACAAAAACAAAATTAATCTTGATAACTAAATTCTGCATCTCTAACAAAAAGGGCAAAAAAATAGGTAGCTCGATGTACAAAGTATCTCAGCGCTCAGGGTTAGGGAAGGACCGCACTCTAAGGGATATGAAGTAGGCAGTCCATCCTAATGCAAGCATAGTGACTGCTTCTAAAGGAAGAAAGGGAAAATAAGAGATAAGGCAAGAAAATTACATTTGAATCATCAGTAGTTTCCATCCTGTCAATAGAATCTCCACCAATGGTTTTGTGGAGTTTTACCTCCCCTTTCACTGCAGTCATTCAAAAGCTTTGTTAATTTACTCAGTGAATTAAGCTTAAATACAATAATTCTTTTCCGTAAGAGTGATGTTTAGACCAGTTTGTGTTTATCTTGATTAATTGATCATTAGGTACCTGTTACCTCCTACTACCACAAGTAACGAGTAATTGTACTAAAAGAAATAGTAATCAACATAAGCATTCACTAATTAATTACCTTGGTTGTTTGCCAAGAAACGAGCAGATGCTTGTGAAGACACGAGCATGGAAACAAGAAGAAGAAGAAGTAGCAGAAAATATAAGTTTTGCTTCATCAGATTTTTGGTTCAGACTTAGTTAATTTGAGCTCTGGTTACAATGTGTGCAAGGACACTACAGAGAAAAAAAATAGATTTTTGTTTTTGGGTTTGCTGGTTGTGGAGGGGAAATATGCCAAGGTATATATACATGCAAAAAGGTGCACTATTAATCTTTGTGCCCCATTGTTTTGTAGTCACAGAATACCTTATTTACTGGGCCCCACACACAGTACTCCTTTTTATACTGTCCATGCTCATGTGACAACACCGCTAAGTGCATGTTTTTGTTGGTATTCGAAATTTATTGGTTTGAATAATTTGAATTCGTACTGCGTATGATCTATTAGAGAAAGAAAATATTTCTTTTACAGTTCGATACACAAAATATCTCACGTTTGCGTTGGTGATGGGTTTTGCTTTAGTCATTGTCAAGGAGTAGTGGTCCAAGTAAAGTCCAAAGACTCCAAAAATCAATGTGTAATAGTGGCTGACAAGATCAAGAACCTAAGTCAACCTGTTAGACATGCAGACAACTGTTTCCCATCACAATACTTGTTCTCCTTGGTTATTATTTTGTATTTTCTTATTATTTTAACTTTCACCTTTCAGAACTTTTGATGTCTTGTTAGCCTATGAAAAGACTAGAAATGGAAGTTTTAAAAAATTTGAAGAAACCCATCTAAACACTAGAGTTGCATTTAACTTATGCATGTACCAAGTTGCATTTGCTTCCCACATGTAAGCAACCAATTAAAGTGGTGGGAGTTCCACCTTCAGATGACAAATATCTATATTTGGTGTTGTTAATTAGGTTGCATCAGTGCTTTCTTACCAGACTATCACACAACATCCCATTAATTAGTTATTGCAACATGAAGGATTAATGGCAGGATCCACTCTCTTGGGAACCATCATTGCTACTTAAATTTAAAGCCATGTGTTTAATTAGTTCTTATCTACTAGGTAATTTTTATTATTTGCAGAGGTAAATTTAGAATTTGAAGTTTGAGTTCTAGCGATTCTTCGTTTGCCATCAAATCTGCAATTCATTTATGTTGTTGGGCTTATAGTTAATTATACATACATATTTGGTAAATTTCGCAATACATATGTATGGTCTGAACTAAAATTATTGGATTCGGGCAAACACGTACATTAAATTATGGTTATTGGATAAATGTAATGCTCTTCTACTTAATTTCCTTCGTACATTAAAATGTGGTAATTGAGTAAATGTAATGCTCTTCTACTTAATTTCCTTCGTACATTAAAATGTGGTAATTGAGTAAATGTAATGCTCTTTCTACTTAATTTCCTTCTCTGTGAAAATGAGCAGAGTAGTACTACTAGTAGTACTGCTTCCTATCTCAAATCTTAGTCATTTTTGGCAAATAAAATTGCTTTGAGATATTAGTTGTTAGAAGAACAAAACAAGAAACCGTTTTTTTATTAAAAAAAATACATTATTGTTCTAATTAGTAAAATATTAATTAAGACACTTTAGGAGAACTAAAGTTATTGGGTTCTGCCAAACACGTACATTAAATTGTGGTTATTGGATAAATGTAATGCTCTTCTACTTAATTTCCTTCGTACATTAAAATGTGGTAATTGGGTATATGTAATGCTCTTTCTATTTAATTTCCTTCTCTGTGAAAATGAGCAGAGTAGTACTAGTAGTACTGCTTCCTATCTCAAATCTTAGTCATTTTTGGCAAATAAAATTGCTCTGAGATATTAGTTGTTAGAAGAACAAAACAAGAAGATATATTTTTTTTTTAAAAAAATTACATTATTGTTCTAATTAGTAAAATATTAGTTAAGACACTTTAGGAGAGATCATGTTGAAGTGAGCTATAGTCGGAAGTCCAACATGAGATATTTCTCTCAACCTCTCTCAACATGAAACCCTAATGGGGTTTCATTGATTTTGACGATCTCTCACATATTTACATGGTATCAGAGTGGGATCTCGTTTACTTCATCGTCCTCTTCCGTCCGATGCTACCCGTCATCTCATCTCCGATTATTTTCGTTGCTAAGTCCAGCACAATTTTTGGTTGGATTTCTGGGATTTTGTTTTGGAGTTGAAAAAGCTTGTTATTGTTCATCTCTTCGTTTATTCTTTGATATTAGAAGGCCGTGTTTTTCGGTTGCGAAAAACATCGGTAATTCTATTTTTTTCTGAATTTTGCTTGTTAGGGTTTGGGTGCATGTGGCTATCTGCTAATTGATGGAAATTTGCTATGGCTGCAAGCAGAGGGATAAGTGCAATATTATGGTTATCTCATGGCTAACTAGTTCCTTATCCCTTAACATTGTTGAGAGTGTTCAGTACTCTGAAATAGCTGAGGATATTTGGATATAGTTAAATAGAAGGTATGGTACTGTAAATGGAACTAAAGTCTTTGAAATTAAAAGAAAATTAGCTTCCACCAATCAAGGCACTCTAGATATTGCATCATATTTTAACAAACTGAAGAAACTTTGGGATGAGCTATGGGTCATGTGATCTAGTCATAACAACACTTGCACTTGTATTGCTAAGGCTGGTATCTAAAAAGGGGAGGAGGAAGACAGGATGCATCAATTTCTCATGGGGTTAAATGAAATATATGTTAGTTTTAGGAGTAATCTTCTCATGATGCAACCACTTCCATCTTTAGATAGTTTATACAAACATTTTGCTTCAAGATGAAAGACGGAGGCAGGTCAATCCATATACTCAGTTCATCCCTGAGTGTGCCCCTTTCAATGCTACCTCACTTAATTTTCCTCAAGCATCACATCCTCATATTCAATATCCTCAGCGAGTATCTTTTGATTCAAATAGAGCAACTCAATTTTACAAGTATTGCAAGAAGAGTGGTCATCTAATTGATAAGTATTATAAATTGTATGGATTCCCACTGGGTTCAAGTTTACTAAGGGTCGGAAGATGGCTGCAAAGCTGAGGTTGAATTAGCCTCCAATAGTGTCGGGTCTCCTGTTTCTACTCCTGTTGCTCATCATGATAGTGCTTCCTTAGTGCCTGGGCTCACCAAGGAGGAGTATGCTCAACTCATTGCTTTACTGTAGCAGGCTCATGTGACTGACCCATCTTCTGCTCAGTCCAGCTTGATGGCATTTGTAAAATTTGCTGGTAATCTTCCTTTAACTGCTTGTGTAGAAGTGCAGTATAGTGCAACTTTGTTTAGTAGAGTAACTGAATATAGTTGGATCTTATATTCTGGGGCCACACATCACATGACTTCACACAAAAATCTTCTTTCCAATATAAAACCTTTAGTAATACCCTATCTTGTCACACTTCCAAATGGCTACAATGTGAAAGTAACTTGCACATGGTCTCTTAACCTGTTTTCTTTCACCTTAAATCATGTTCTTTATGTTCCTACTTTCCACTACAATCTCATTTCTGTGTCTCAGTTACTCATCCAACTTCATGGCATGGTTCAATTTGACCCACTTTTATGTACTTTACAGGCCCTTTCACTGAAGAAGGCACTGAAAGTTGGTAAATTAGAGCATGGACTTTACAGGCTCCTTATGTCTCCCTCAAAGTCTGCTACATCTGATTCCACTGTTAGCTTACCTTTTGTTTCAAATGCAGCTTTACATTGTAGATATCCATTGAATATTTCTGGTTCTTCCTCTGTATCCATTCCATATGTCTTACATTGTAAAAATCATTCTTCCATTAATAAAGAGGAAGTGTTATGTCATCAAAGATTGGGTCACATTTCTTTTGTTAGATTAAAATATATTTCTGGTGTTCCTTGTGAATTCTCTTCCAAACAGTCTTTTATTTGTTCTACTTATCCGATGGCTAGACAGTCAAGGTTACCTTTCCCTGACAGTAGCATAAAATCATTCTATCCTTTCCAACTAATTCATGTTGATACTTGGGGGACTTATTTTACCTCCACTTATAATGGTTTTAAATACTTCCTCACCATAGTTGATGACTTTACTAGAGCAACTTGGACACATCTTATGAGTTCCAAAAGCAATGCTTTTCCTTTACTTCAACCCTTTCTTGCCATGGTTCAGACTCAATTCTCCACCAAAGTTCAATGTGTTAGAAGTGGTAATGCTTTGGAACTTGGCTCTAGCAACTATGCCATCCATTTTTTTAAAGATCATAGGATACTACACCAACTAGTTGTCCACACACACCCCAACAAAATGGTGTGGTAAAAAGAAAGTACAAGTATTTACTTGAGATTTCTAGGGCATTTCTTTTTCAATCCAAGTTGCCTATATGTCACGACCCGAAATTTCCACCTTCGGGACCGTGATGACACCTAACATTTCACTTGCTAAGAAAGCCAACGTTAGAATAATTTAAATTATTTTTATAATTTATTTTAATTAAATAGTAAAGAAACCAAACAACTGGAATAATGTCTGAATTAAAGTGAATAAACCAAAATAATAATGATGGCTAAATACCATCCCAGAACTGGAGTCACAAGTGTACGAGCTTCTAGAATAATACAAATAAGGATCTGAATAAAAATAAAGTTGTCTGAAAGAAAGCACACATCTAAGATATAGTAGGAGGGGACTTTAGAGCTGCGAACGCTGTGCGGCTATACATCAAGTTTTCTCTGATAGCTGAATCTGAGCAAATCTACAGTACACTACTGGGACCAACTCCGGTATCTGCACAGAAAGTGCAGAGTGTAGTATGAGTACAACCGACTCCATGTACTCTGTAAGTGCCGAGTCTAACCTCGACGAAGTAGTGACGAGGCTAAGGCAGGCCACTTACATTAACCTGTACGCAATAATAATAACAGGAATAGAGGTAAGACGGGTAAATCATATCAATAATCGAAGTCAATTCAGCAGTCATAATCCTTCAAAGAATTTTCGTTGCGGCGTGCAACCCGCTCCAACAATATAAACTTAACATAAAATCTGTTACGGCGTGCAACCCGATCCAACAATATAATCTTTCAATTAAATTCTATTGTGGCATGCAACCCGCGCCAACAATATAAACTTTTAATAAATCCGCTGCGGCGTGCAACCCGCTCCAACAATATAAACTTTTAATAAATCCGCTGCGGCGTGCAACCCGCTCCAACAATATAAAGTTAAAATAAATCCGTTGCGGCGTG